AAATCTTCCCTTGTCTGGCTTTTGCTACTCTGAGAAATGCCTGAACTTTGTATTTTGAGCACTTCTTGCGTCGTTCTTCCCTCTTCACGATGACTCGCTTGCTTTAGTCCTCAGATGTAAGTCGCTTTGGATAAAAGCGTCTGCTAAATGACTAAATGTAAAATGTAAATGTAATCTATATGAAAAGAGAGAGATGTCAGTCGTTCTCATATCAGCTCTTTATCTTTTAATTTGATCACGCCCACGGAGAGCGCGCTATTCAAACGCAAATGATCTGAGGCGATACATGCAAACGTGTGAACGCCCCACATCAACTCGATAAAACACAAGTTTAATCAGATTACAGTACTTTACGTTGTCTTGCGAGGCTGTGAGGAATAATCCTGGGATACATCAGAAGTGCTGGTTTAAGTTCATTTTGAGGAGCAACGGATCAAGCTGATGTAGTAAGTTTTTTATTATTAAGTGCTTTGTTGTAATCGCGATATGGAATAGCCTATGTAAACCGCAAAAAGACTGTTTAAATATTAATCGCTTTCTGTGTGTGAATGAATGAACAGCTTTTACCAAACTATATTGCGATACTGAGATGAGTAAAAATCAACTTAAATATGTTGAAATAAAATGTCTTTATATAGCAACTTAAACTGCAAATGAACATTTATATGCCCTAATATATCATAAAAACAACACAATCTCATGAAAGTGAGTAGCCTATCTATAGCACAAATTAAATTTCTCGTACCATCCTACGCCAAATATAGTTTTTGCGTGCAAATGATACACACTGTAAACCCCTTGGGTAGGATTAGGGGTGTGGAGTGCGTGTGTATTACACCCATAAAGTGCGTATCATATGTACGCGTAAACTGCGTATGCACGCAAAAACTATTTTTGGTACGAGAAATTAAATTTGTGCTATAGATACGCACTTTCATGAGATCGGAACGATATGCCTATGTTACAGACGAAATATGAAAGACAACATTTCGTTGAATAGTTTTTGTTATAAACTTTTTACTGTAAAATAGACTACTGCCACATCAAATAAGCTTTTGTTTTTATAGTTTTTATAGTGTTTGTTCCAATGTAGACCTTATTCAAATTAATGAATCCTTGAAATACGTATGATAAAATGTATACTTTAGTTTTTACAAAGAAAGATTACACTTGAAATATTGTTACAATTTTAATTGTTGTAATTGTAAACTTTTTAATAAAATAGCAAAGAATATATTTACAAGGTAGATGTAAACAAAATCTTATAAGCCTTCTCTTTAAATTATTTTTATTGTGTTTTATTAGTGACAAATTTGGGGAGAGGATACATATCCAAAACTTTCTGAAAATACAGTATGTGAATTAACTACACAATTACTAGAAATGTTTACCTTGGATATTATACAATTTGCAAGCAAAAATACAAGTGGAAAAATACAGATTGTTTTCTAGATGTTTCCAACTGTGAACCAATTTTGTAGTATATATACACTCACCTAAAGGATTATTAGGAACACCTGTTCAATTTCTCATTAATGCAATTATCTAATCAACCAATCACATGGCAGTTGCTTCAATGCATTTAGGGGTGTGGTCCTGGTCAAGACAATCTCCTGAACTCCAAACTGAATGTCAGAATGGGAAAGCAAGGTGATTTAAGCAATTTTGAGCGTGGCATGGTTGTTGGTGCCAGACGGGCCAGTCTGAGTATTTCACAATCTGCTCAGTTACTGGGATTTTCACGCACAACCATTTCTAGGGTTTACAAAGAATGGTGTGAAAAGGGAAAAACATCCAGTATGCAGCAGTCCTGTGGGCGAAAATGCCTTGTTGATGCTAGGGGTCAGAGGAGAATGGGCCGGCTGATTCAAGCTGATAGGAGAGCAACTTTTACTGAAATAACCACTCATTACAACCGAGGTATGCAGCAAAGCATTTGTGAAGCCACAACACGCACAACCTTGAGGCGGATGGGCTACAACAGCAGAAGACCCCACCGGGTACCACTCATCTCCACTACAAATAGGAAAAAGAGGCTACAATTTGCAAGAGCTCACCAAAATTGGACAGTTGAAGACTGGAAAAATGTTGCCTGGTCTGATGAGTCTCGATTTCTGTTGAGACATTCAGATGGTAGAGTCAGAATTTGGCGTAAACAGAATGAGAACATGGATCCATCATGCCTTGTTACCACTGTGCAGGCTGGTGGTGGTGGTGTAATGGTGTGGGGGATGTTTTCTTGGCACACTTTAGGTCCCTTAGTGCCAAATGGGCATCGTTTAAATGCCACGGCCTACCTGAGCATTGTTTCTGACCATGTCCATCCCTTTATGGGCACCATGTACCCATCCTCTGATGGCTACTTCCAGCAGGACATTGCACCATGCCACAAAGCTCGAATCATTTCAAATTGGTTTCTTGAACATGACAATGAGTTCACTGTACTAAAATGGTCCCCACAGTGACCAGATCTCAACCCAATAGAGCATCTTTGGGATGTGGTGGAACGGGAGCTTCGTGCCCTGGATGTGCATCCCACAAATCTCCATCAACTGCAAGATGCTATCCTATCAATATGGGCCAACATTTCTAAAGAATGCTTTCAGCACCTTGTTGAATCAATTGCCACGTACTGTAGAATTAAGGCAGTTCTGAAGGCGAAAGGGGGTCAAACACAGTATTAGTATGGTGTTCCTAATAATCCTTTAGGTGAGTGTATATATATATATATATATATATTAGTGCTGGGCAACGATTAAAATTTTAAATCGAGATTAATTGCATGATTTTCTTGCAAATAATCGCGATTAATCGCATTGTTACGCGCAAACTTTAATAATGAATTCTAAAGTAGTGTATTACTCACTTTTGATTTAAATGTACTGCTATATACACAAAAGTGTAATAACATGTGGTTTGCAAAAACTTTAAACAAATAAGGTGCTTTTACCAGCAGTATTCCCTTTACACAGCAATAAAATATTTATTGTAAATCTCAACTTAAACATTAATGTAATCAAATCAAATATTAAAACAAAGCTATTTGCCACTGCCAGGGCATTACCTTTTATCTAGCTTGTTAAAACGAGTCCAGTTTTCTTGTTTTTTTTCTTAACAGGTATCAACAGGTGTCTTTTAGCAGCTGAAACAGTCTATGTAGTCAGAGGTCATGAGATATAAGTCGACCAACGTTACTTCTCTGATAGTAGCTTAGGTTTGGTCATGCCATGGTTTCCCACATACACTAAGATTGCATTAAACAGAGGTAAAGCCCAATTTATACTTGGACTTACGTCGTGCCCTGACGTGCACCTCTCCAAAAATGTAACGAAGCGTCAATTCTACGCGCACCGCAAGCGCTGTGATTGCTAGAACGGACCGCTCCACGGGTTTCACATGCTCCCTCTGCATGTGTAATTGCGCGTCAACGCGGACAACGACGCAGAAGTAAAACCAACCAACGCGTAGTGTATAGCGTAAGTCCGACACAGAAGTATAAATCAGCCTTTTAGAGTGAGGTGAATTGGTCGAGCACAAGGTGCAGCGACAAGCGGGTGCGTTCTGTGAAACTATTGCGGTCATGCTCGCCTCACGCGCTCGCCTCACGCACGCGCCCGCCCGTTGCCGAAGTTGAATTGTCTAAAAGGACTTTGATTGTCTATAACTTTTTGTACACGACGCGCAGTAGCCTACAAATCATTGGAAGAGAGACTGATCCTCGGCTCGCTGTTTGAGTTTCCAATATTTAAATAGTTATCAGGACATCAACAGAAGGGAATTCACATTGCAGAGCATCCCCGCTAAACTACACTAAACTATATCCTTTTATGTTTACCTGAGGCTCACGCTCGGCTCTATGATTGGGTGTCATCCGTCATGGCGTATATCTTTGCTAGCAGCTGTTGTACAAGTAAATTCTGCATTTTACAACGCTATAACTGCCTACATGCGCCAGTCAAGCTATTATTCGAGCGATCTGTGACAATTCCTGTGTGCAGCGGCGGTGTTGACCGTACATGGAGCGTCGGTTTGGGGTTAACCCCGAGCATGGTGGGATCATTTTATCAATGAAGTTGTGTTTACACCGGTGCGCGCATGCCCAGTGTTGGTGAAAGGTCACGTGATCTGCGTTTTCAGTCGTTTTAATGTGGACTGAGATCAATTCTAATACGCAGCTAAAACGCTGGTGTGGACGGAGATCGTATTTGTTTTAATTATCCGTTTCTAAACTAAAACGCAGTAGTGTGGATGGGGCCTGAGAGAACCTGCCAAAGCCTCTCTTCACTGCTGGTTTGGGTGGGTTATTTGCTGGCTGACCAACATCCCACCCCTCCTGTGATCCATGGTTTGACTGTAGGCCTATGTCCTATTCAGAGCCAGTGTGCAACGGACTTTCAAAAAAAAAGAAAAAAAAAACTGCGTTAACGTGAGATAAAAAAATTGTTGGCATTAATTAATAAATGCGTTAACGCGATAATAACGCGTTAACTTGCCCAGCCCTAATATATATATACACATACATACATATATATATATATATATATACATATATTATTTTTTGTCCTTGCATTCTTTCTTGTGGCTCAGTGACACACCTGTGAGAAAGGCTCATTATGCAGCTCATTATGCAGGTCATTGTCTTCTCAGGTGTGAATCACGCCCACGCCCAAAAGCACAAATATCAGGGCATGTCCAAACATCTCAAGGACCCCAAAAACACCTTAGACCCCAGAGGGTTAGTGAGGAGAAGCTCAAGTGTTCAATCATTTACAGATCAAACACATGAACTCACAGCGGCAGGAGAAATAGAGCAAACACTTTACAAATATTAATTCTCTTACATCATATGAACAGACGTAAACATAATTTGATGCATTTGATCATGTTTTTTTAATAGCTTTGCTTGAAATAATAGTTATTTCCTCGCATTTTATTCCATTTTGATTATACTTTATGAATTCACAGTGACAGTTTCATGTGAGAGTCACGTATGATCTTACCACAGTATCTCCAGTTTACAGTAAGGATTCTCCAGTCCAGCAGAAAACAGCTTCACTCCTGAGTCTCCTAGTTTATTCCCAGACAGATTCAATTCTCTCAGGTGTGAGGGGTTTAACCTCAGAGCTGAAGCCAGAGCAGCACAACCTTCATCTGTCACACCACACCTCCTTAACCTGTAGAGAACAATGATACACATTAAGCCTATATCCAGAGATAAACATGACACTTAAAAAATAAATAACATAATGCTGTCAATATTAAATGTAAACAAATATTCATTAGTTCAAGTTGTTAAATTACATCAGTTAGGATTAGGGGATTCAATATACAGTTTGTACAGTATAAAAATCATTATTTCTATGGAAAATCACCATAAAACATGGAAACCCAACATGTGTGTGTGATTGAGTGTGTGTGTGTGTGTAATTAATGTATTTGTAAACATTTTAAGGAACGTGTGTGTGATAGGACTGGGAGAAAAAAAATCGACTCACCAAACTATCGCAATTTTTTGGTTCACGATTGAATCAGGAGATAGGTGCATCGTCCCAGCCCTAGTGTATTTGTGTGTGTGTGTGTGTGTGTGTATGTGAGCTTACATTTATTTTGTAAACATATTGAGCGTTTAAAGTTATTGAAACTTTAGAGTGATTAAGAAGCATGGATAAAAGAACAATAAGAAAGGGCTTGATGATTTAAAAACACATTAGAACTCAAATCGGCACTCGGACAATGTCTTCTTGTGCCGCCTGACAGTGTGTCCCGTTTTGTGCCGTTTGAATGGTCAAATACACACAAAATTACATAATAAAACCCATCTTGCTTCTTGTGTACACGCTAATTTTTTTAATGACTTTACATAACAGTTTGAAAATTATGTAATCCGAGTCACATGACAGTGGTAAGTGCTTAAAATCTTGTATATTAAGATATTAAGTATTTCTTATGGCCAGTTACAAGTGCATTCTGAAGCTCACACGAGAAGTGATGCGGAAGCACAGATGAGCGGCATTCCTCTGAGTTTCACAGTTCGCTTATATCACGCTTCAAAACGTGCTGACGTTTAAGTCAAACATGAACTCATGAATGCGTGTGTGTTGGCCGGAAGGAAAGGTTTATATTGTAAAAAGTTTTAAAAATTTGTATTTCTTACACCTATTGTTTGACTTCAGAAGCATTGATTCATCAGCTGGGGTTTATGGATTACTGTCGTGTTCACTTTGTGTGAACTAACTACATTAGTTAACATGAGTGAATCATGAAAGATTCTTCTACAACATTTATTAATCTTAGGAGAAAGACCCAAGGTCTAGCTAGGACCAAGGAACGGGACCGGAGCACAGAACGTTTTAAATTATCTTTATAACAAAATGACTAACGTTTCGACGCCCATACGTCTTCTTCAGAGTCAAACAACAAACAACATGTATAAAAAATTACCTCCGAATTTTAACTATAAAAATCATGCAAGGCCCAGTTCCTCATTAAGGCCATTTGGTTCTACTGTGTTCAGAGTGAAAATCCAGAAAGCCTCTCGTTATAGTAGAGACTTCACTAAATCTCCTCCTCGTTGGGAGGGTAGAATTTTTTCAATACCCCAAAATTTTAGGGACGCATTGGAACCATGATTAGCTTGTACATAATGCCTCGCAATTGCATAGTCCATATTACGGTTCCGAATTGCTGCTTTGTGTTCTGCAATGCGTAGTGTGACGGTTTCAGTGAGTAACTCGTTATGAGTTGCAGGTGATTGGCTGAAGGGAGTGGTCAAAGACTGAGACTGGGACAGAGATGAGAGAGGGTGGGGGACAAATATGCCAAAAATGCAACCAAAAGAACAGAGATAGAACTTGAAACTTGTTATAGTATGGCGGAAGTTAAAAGCATAATCAAAGAAGAAATGAGAAAGAAGTGGCAAGAGGAGTGGAATAAAGAAACAAAAGCAAGAATGTATTACAGTATCCAAAAGAGGGTAGGAGGTATGAGAGAAAATAATAGGAATAAAAGGGAAGAGGACATTATTTCAAGAATGAGATTTGGGCATACTGGATTGAATAGTACGCTTAAATTAATAGGGAAACATGAAAACGGGATGTGTGAGGTCTGTAATATTAATGAAACAGTAGAACATGTTATTATAAATTGTCATAAGTATAAGGAGGAAAGGATGAGGCTGGAGAACTGGTTTAGAAAAGAAAAAATTAGATTTGAAATGAAGGAACTATTACAAATGAATTCAGGATATGTAGGGTATAGAGTGATATTTGTGTTTTTGAGTAAAACAGGGCTTAGTAGAAGAATATGAGTTGAGTTGTATTAGAAAGTTGTATTTAATAATAATGATAATGTATGAATATAAGTAATGTTATTAAATATTTATGAAGTTGTTTATTGGTTTTATTGTGGATGTATGTATTTATTTATATATTTATTTAAGGGTAGTGAGGAAAGGCTATTGTGATCCACACTCCATATCAGAAGGTGGCGGTAATGCACACTTAAAAGTTGTTTGCCAACCGCCATTAAAAGAAAGAAGAAGATGAAGAAGTGGTAATGATGGTGATGGTGATGATGATGATGATGATGATGATGAGAGGGTGGGGGGGTTAAGCTTGTGCAGAGATTGGGCTGGTTTCGTTTGCACCACACCTTTGGTTGCTTATCACGGTCTTGAAGAACTCGTGATATGGGAGAAATATGGGAGATCACCGCCGCCCTTTGATCCATCTCCTGTGGGATGGTTGTTGTTTCTGGAGGTTTCATGGAGAGAGAATGGTTGGACATGTTTTTCATGTGCTACACCTTTGCACACATCTGCTGACACACTGATTATCATTTATACTGATCATTAATGTTGTTTGTCTTGTCCTGATAAATAAATACACTTATTAATTGGCCGTGGTGTGTGTGTGGTGACTCCCTTATTTTGTTGCGACTCAGAAGAGATCGTAACAAATGGGGGCTCGTCCTAAAGGGAAATTACACCATATGAAATTTGATTCATATTTGGATGATGTCGTAAATATTGAGCTTTCGCACGTAAATGGATGTTGTGTTTAAATTGACTCGTGAGTTTGAGAGTAATCATCATTAAAAGGTAAGTGCATTTTTCTTTTTTACAGGGGATATTGTTCATTTTCTCCCGGGTAGGAATTAGCAACGCTTAGCGTTGATTTGTTATTTTGCCTTTTTTATTTTTGTGCAGGCTTTTGGGTTAAGTATACCGCCGTGGTTTCTGATTGAGCTGTTTGTTCAATTTTTAATCCATCAGTATTTTGGTGTTTAAAAGTCGCTTGACTCTTGAAAGCTGCATGAAGACTAGACATAAGTGAGTTTAGTGGTTTGGTAGGTAGTTTAGAGGGGGAAAGTGAATAATTGTCTCACCTGTTTTGTTCCGAAAGGGAAATAAATGCACTTGCTTTTTGGTTAGAAGTATAAAAAAAATTCTGAGAATGTCGTCTATAGAAGATTTTATTAAAGATCATTCAGAGGAGATATTAAATTCTTTTGTAAAACAACAATTATGGGAACTTGTAGAGCATTTTAAAATCAGTGAGGTAGACAAGAAAACACGGAAAAAGGAACTACGTTCTGTTGTGAAGAATTGGTTATGTGAAAATAGCCTTATGGTAGCTTCTCCACAGAGAAAATGTGGCATTGATGCAAAAGGTTCTTTAGATATTTTCTCTGGCTTATCTTTCGAGGAAAGAAAAGAGATTTTACAAATGCAGCAGCTTCACGATAAAGAGCTGATTAAAGAAACTAAACGTTATGAATTGGAGATTGAAAGAATAAGAAACGAGAATGTGCTTAGACAACGCGAGATTGATTTCGAAAAAATAAAGATAGAGGCTGAGAAGTTCACACGAGATCATGAGCTGCAGGTGGAGCGATTGAGATTGGTAAAGGAAGGGAGAATGTCAGATGTTGGAGAGAGAGGTTTGGGTTTATCTGGAGGGTTTGACTTGGCCAGTAAACTAAGGCTGCTTCCAAAATTTAATGAACATGACCCTGATGTTTTTTTTTCTTTGTTCGAAACCATGTCCGAGGAAAGGAATTGGCCGAGGTCTATCCGAATTGTCATGCTTCAAACAGTGATCACCGGCAAGGCACAGGAGGCATATGCAGCGCTTACGATGGAGGACAGAAAGGATTATGACAAGGTAAAAGTAGCTATTTTGAGGGCCTACGAATTGGTTCCTGAAGCCTATCACCAGCGATTTTGAAGCTGGAGGAAAGGTGATCGTCAAACTCATTCTGAAGTGGTAAGGGATCTGGTTTCTTATTTTGATCGCTGGTGTGTTGCGTCCGCTGTTGATGACTTTGAAAAGTTGCGTGATTTAGTCATTTTAGAACAATTAAAAAATATTGTGCCTGATGACATTGCTACATACATAAATGAAAAGAAGCCAAAAGACGCAATGGAGGCGGCAGTTTTGGCAGATGATTATGTATTAACACATAGGAAGGTATACAGAGAGGACAGATCAGTTCAACAGAGGGGTGGCTTCAATGAAAACAGAGTTGGACTAAACAAAATTGAGAGAACGTATCCTTCAAAATCAGAGAACAGTGGTCGGATGAGATCTGACAAAGACTTAGTGTGTCATTACTGTTTTAATCCGGGACATTGGAAAAATAAGTGTCCAGTTTTAGCTGCTAAGTGGAAGTCTGAAAAAAAAAATCCCAAATGAATTATATTAATCCTGTGTTAGCGATTGATGTTATTGAAACTACCAATGACTTTGATCATGATACTTCCATCGAGGTGGCAGAGGAAGTATGTGACTCCAAAATCGTAGCCATGAAGAACTTTGTACCATTTATTACGGAAGGTTGTGTGTCTTTGCCAAACTCTGAGAGTAAAATACCAGTTAACATTTTGAGAGATACAGGCTCATCAGAATCTTTTATTCTTAAATCTGTTCTGCCCTTTTCTGAGGTATCAAGTGAAAGGAGGAGTGTTCTGATTAGAGGAATTTGATTAAACACTCTTTCTGTTCCTCTGCATAGAGTACACTTGACTTCTGACCTGATTTGTGGAGAGGTATCATTGGGAGTTCGTCCGTCTTTGCCAGTGGATGGGGTTACTGTCATCTTGGGTAACAATTTGGCTGGAGGTAGGGTCTGGCGAGAGGTGATGCCACCTCCTGAGGTAGTGCCTATTCCAGTC